AGTTGTGTCTCTTCTAGGAGAGAAATGTTTTCTATAGGAAATTAAACATCTGTGTAAGGGACAGCCATGCTTCCTGTACATCGTTGGAGGACCTGTTCCTATTAAAAATCAGGGACTCAGCTTTTTCTTTTGTATTTTCTCCAGTCCTGGAGCCTTTGGGATGAAGTCTGGTCTGTAGTCTGTGAGGCAGAGGAAGGAGACAGTGTGAAGAATTCCAAAAAGTGAGCAGAGCAATGCCCCAGATTATAGTAAGCGATCCCCCAAGTGTGTGCATGCCTCTAGCTCTGCATTTTCTCTTACTTTTAAATAAAATTTGAATAAAAATATTTTGGTTTTATTTCACCAATTTTATTTTTACATAGTTCAAAATGCAAAACATACAAGGGGGATTCAGTGAAAAGCCTCTTTATTCCACCCTTCAGTCACCAGGTCCCCTGTCCCAATGACAGCCAATATCAACACCTTTAGTGTGTCCTCCTGAAACGGTCCCTTTTGATGTGTGAATGAGCACGCACTCTGTCTGATCTGAACCTTGTTTTGGATGTGTGAATGAGCACACACTCTGATCTGAACCTCGTTTGCTTTTTCCACTTAGCAGTTTGGAGGCTTCTTCAACCATGGATGAAAAGCTGCCTTGGTCTTGATATATGTTTAATTGTGTATTAGTTTATCTTGAATATGTGCCATGGCTTATCTAGCCAGTACCCCACTGAAGAATAACATCAGGCTTGTTCAATTTTTTGCTGTTAAAAATAAGGCCACATTTAAAAAAAATTAGGCCATAATCAATAATCTTGTATATGCCATTTTGCTCATAAGCAGATACAGTGTAGATAAATTCCTCAAATGGAATGTTGGGGTATGCAGTATGTACATTTGTAAATTTGATAGATGCTACCAAATAGCTTCACAGTTGTACCTATGCATAGTGTCCTTAGTGTCTACACTGCACACTTGAAAGACCCGAGGCACAAAATATAGAGCCTCTGGAGATGCTGCCATGTGACCCGGCAGCCTCTGCCAGGTGGGTTTTTCACTGTGCTCCCTGCTCTCTTTAGATGGATAACTGGAACACTTTGGTAGATTCAGGCTTGTCTAAAGTCACCATTCTAAGGGACTATCGGTGAAGCTGTATCTAGTTTAGACGGGTATTTCTCTGTGTTCCACGCTTTTCTCAAGAGTTCAAACTTGATAAGCCCTGGTTTGAAGATCCAGCAGAGGGCCTTGCACATGCTAGGCAAATGTTCCATCACCGAGCTGCAACCCTTAGTATTGTCTCACACATCTCGTCTGGTCAGTCCGTGCTGCAGCAAATCTATTGCTTACAAAATCTAACAAATAAATAAATAAATAAATAAATAAATAAAATGGAATATCTTTTAAAAATATTGAAGATGCCAAAGAGCTACTGTGTATGTCGGCTTTGTATAGTTACCATATTTAAAAGCAAAACTAATATTAAAAAAAACCTCTACCACATCCTAGGATGACTCCCCAGGACTGTAAATACACAAGCAAACACTGTTTCTTCTCAATAGCAATACTTTATTAAGGTATTTTCCATTCAGGAGTGGGTAATGAGGGTAACATAATCAAAGTTCACTGTTTACATGTATGAAATTGTCAAATAAATAAAAATATTTCTCCCAAATGAAAGTGACACCATTATATATAAATACACATGCTACAAATTTAGCTTAATAGGTGAGAGCTAGCTTCTTTTTTGCATATTTTAATCTCTAGAAAACCCATGAAAGATTGTGAGACACACCAACATTCTCAGTGTCATTGTTAAAATAGTTTGGACATTAGAGAAGATTTGGTTTAGATAATTTTATTATCCTTATCCCTATATATTAAACTTTTGACAATTTAATCTCTTTGTTCTTTTTCATGATTTTGTTTTTTGTTGTTTTTTGTTTTTGTTTTTCAAGGCAGGGTTCTCTGTATTGCTTTGGAGGCTGTCCTGGAACTAGCTCTTGTAGACCAGGCTGGCCTCGAACTCACAGAGATCCGCCTGCCTCTACCTCCCGAGTGCTGGGATTAAAGGCATGTGCCACCAATGCCTGGCTATTTTGTTTTTTATATTGAATTGTTTTGTTGTATATAATTGTGATCATGTATAAATGGTTACATACAGATTCAAACATGTTTTTTATACCTTTTTTTAGTAAATTTGAAACAACAATTTTTTATTCTCATAAATCTGCAATTTGAGAATGCAGTGGTGGCTTAGGTTTGTATGTTCTGTACATGGCATTGGCTGGGGTGGCCTACCTTAGGGCTGGAGGATCCATTCCCAGTGCCCACACTCTGTCTGCCAAGCCAGTGTGAGCTGTCAGCTGGGGTGCAGAAGGGCCTGAGGGGAGGAGACTCCTCTTCATGTGGGTCTCTGTAAGTGGTCCTGGTTTCCTCACAGCAGTGCAACTGGGTTCCCAGGGAGAGCATCGCATGAGAGAAATGGTTAGACTGAATTAGAAATGGGAGTCTGACTATAACTTCATGCTTTGAGTTTGAGTCTATTATTAACATGGTAACACCTGGTGTAATCATAAAAAACCCCAAATAATCAGATCCTCAGTTTCCACCCCTCTGGTGTGTTTTGGGTTTTGACTGCTTTGATCACCTGTGAGAACAGCTGGGTACTTACAGCACCAGGAACAGGCTCTTGACTCAAGCATTCTCCCCGGCCCTGAGTTTGCAATCTTTAGCTGCTACACTGACCTTGGCTTAGTACTTTGATCACCTCAACACAGTTTCTCCTACCCATGTTTACCTTTTCTCAAAGGTGGGTCTATATTTTCTTGAACTCATCCTGGCAACAAATCAGAAATATGGGCTAGTTCCTGTGCTTATGGCTACACCTGTTAGGACTGTGAATGGTTATGAGTCATGGAAGGTTCGAAGAGCCAGGCTTTCCTCTACTGGTGGTATTTCCTGAAATCAGAGCAGCTGCTCTCGTGGGGTTGGCTGCCATTGTCACCTGTCCAGTCTTGATATCACATGTAGTTGCTCTTTACCCTCATGCTATAACCCTTACCCCCAATTTCTAGATAAAAGGGAGTACCACATATCATGGGTTCTCTGTGCCATTTTCCAAGGCCAGTTTCAAATACATTATAACCTAGGTATATATATTATAACTTGGGTAGCATAGGGAGTCACTGGTAAGGCATCCTGGAGAATTCTGGGTAAGTATGGTGGCTGTATTAGATTTTATATACAACACCAACAGGACCAAAAAAAAATCATGCTTGGGGGTAGCATGTCCAAACGATACCATAATGAACCAGTTCTGATGCCAACCACTGTGAGCTTACACATACCTGGTGGAGAGGACAGGGTAGTATTGGGGAAATTAGCTCTCTTGCCACTGTAAGACTTGTGATGTTCAGTGGATAAACAAAGATCAATACAAAGGAAGCACATGGAGGGTGAGGCCTCCTCCCCAAATCAGAGTCAAACATCACTCTTGCTGGGGACAAGCACCAAAGCCAACTGGGAAAACGGTCACACCTATGCATAAGAGAAGCAGCGACCCTCAGCAGCCCTCTGTGGGCAGCTCAGCCTGAACAGAAAGGGTGCCCATCCACTCAGGTCTGTGCCTACAGGAGGGGCTGATGGATGCTTGCATCCTGAGACGTTTGTCCCAGCAGGTCTTGGCAAGGCTCCTCAGGAGGAGGCATCATTTTTAAGAGTGAATAGTTTTGACCACAGCTCAACACTTAGATTTTTGTGCTTCTCTTTTGGCCTACAGTCTACACCACTCACTAGTTAAAAGGATTTGGACAATGATATTCTATTTACCAAATGAAAACAGCCCAGGTACACTGTTTATCTCACTGGAAAGTAACAAAACTATGCCTAGCCTCAGATACCTAACCCAGCACTGTGCCGCCATCTTCAAAGGGATTGATGAGGGTGGAACTCTGGAGGCAGGGGAAGGATCGATGTCCCGGTTCAGCCGTTGAGGCTAGTAGACCTCTGAGGACGTGCAAGACCATGGGGAGAGCAGGGAAAAGGGTTCTTCTCACAAATCTGAGTTGCTGGGAAGGCTGACCCAAGTGTCTTGTGCTCGGATAAAGCAGGGTGAAGACGGGCATGCCAGTGTGAGCTACCAGCCACCACAGCAGCTTCCTGAGAACTGCAGTGACGACAGCAGGGCTTCGGGAAGCCTGGCTCCGTCTTAAGTAGGTAGCTTAGTTGGAAATAGTTGTACAAAATCAGGTGTAACGACCAGGTCGGCAGCAGTGGACATGTGAGGGCAGAATGAGTTCCTAGGACAGCGAGAGGACACCACAGGATTAGATTATCTAAAGCCAGCAAAGCTTTGAGCTGCTGAACTTGGGGAACAGAGGGAGTCTAGAATAATGAAGGTCTCTGAACCAATTACTGTCCTTCTAAAGTTTTAATGAAAAATATTCTTCTCGTATAATACATCCCAACCATAGCTTCCCCTCCTTCCACTTCTCCAACTTACCTCCCAACCCCCTCTCCCCAAGATCCACTGCCCCTGCATTTCCTCTTCAGAAAAGTGAAGGCCTCCAAGAGATAACAGCCAACCAGGGCAAGACACAATAAGACAAGGTGAAAGCCCTCATATCCACACTGGACAAGGCAACCCAATGGGAGGAAAAGAGTCCTCAGAGTGGCAAGAGTCAGAGATACACCCACTCCCACTGGAAGAGTCCACAGAAAGAGCGAGCTAACAGCCACAACAGATATGCAAAGGACCTGGTACAGACCATGCAGGTCCTGTGCTTGCAGCTCTAGTCTCCGTGAGCCCATGTGAGCTCTGCTTAGTTAATTCGGTGGGCCAGATTACTCCTTATTTTGGAGATATATTTACTGTGTATGAAGCACAGACAAAGTTCGAAATTTTAAGATCACAGTCTAGCTAAAGGGCTAGAAGTCAGGCTCCCATAGAAAATAAAATTTGATGTACCCAGCTGAGAAATGAGTTATGAGACATTTTTTCTATAGTCATAAAAACCAACATATCACTTTCTTTTATAATTTTATTACTTATAAAATAAAAACAAGTTAGGAAAAATATTTTCCTTTGCAAGATATAGAAACAACATCTTTGGAAAATACATACCCCCATAATTGTTACAATACATAGCCTTGTATACCACTTGAACATTGTTTAAAAATCATACCCTGTAAAGGTTGGGATAAGAAACATTGTCTCCAATGTCAGCCACATACTGTGACATTCAAGTACTTAAGATATAGTCGAAGTAAAACATGTTTCCAAATGGGTTAACCTTCCCCAGTCCCAGTGACTCTTCTATTGCTTAAGTTAATCAGTGGCTCCAGGAGTGTCTAACTTTCTGTAAGTGGAACTGAGTGAGAAGAGGCTGCCATGGAAACCCAGCTACGGCATGCAGGTCTCCATCCTGTCATCCCTGGGTATGGAGCATGGCTCCCAAAGGATGATCTCTAAGATAGCTCTGAACTCTAAAAGGCTGTTTGTTGACTATATTTTCTGAGATGCTGGTAGAATGGCATTGTTGCAAATCTAAGTTCCAAGAGTGTGAGTCAGGTCAAGTGTGATTGAGATGACTCAGCTAAATAAATATCATCTAGGATGTCAGGTGGAAAGTCTTCAAAACCATTAAAGTTAAAGTTCCTCTTTGGAACTACTGGAGAAGATCCTCTTAAAAGAATGTATGTTGCAGGAACCCAGTTCCTGTCTTTGGAAGAACTGTGGGGAGACTGGGAAAGAACACACAGCTCCTCAACTCTGCAGCCTAAGATAACCACAGAGGGTGTTTGGCTGAGTAAGACGTGGCATCCACTATGTCCTTTCCATAAAGGCATTCAAAGTGACAGAGACTGGTGGTCATGTACTCCCAACTCCTTGACCAATCTCCTGAGCATTCCTTTTACAGGAGCACCAACCTGATGGTGATCCACATTTAGAATCTACTGAGTTCACACTAGTATCATGGTACAGCTTGCCAGTCAAAGACTAACATTTACCTGTGATTTTTTTTAATGTATGCAAGAAACTGTGAAAGTCAAGCAACTGTGCATTAATAGGTCTTTACTTTTTCATATATCACAAGCATTATAACATATCATTCCAAAATGGAAGAAGACTGTAGGAATAAGTTTAATAACAGACCTATACTTTAAAGGGGCTATAAGGAAAACCTTCTAAAACTATGGTTTTTGTAAATGAAAATGGTACAATTTGGACAATTTGTTATGGCCCAATGTTGCACAATCCTGAGAAAACTGTATTTGGCATCATACTATAAATTCAAAGAGAATTTGTAGAAAATTATCATATCTCAAGTGTAAACACCTAACAATGGGATGTGCACACTGGTTACCCAAGACTTCTCTCTCATGACTTTAAGACTGAAAATCATGGAATGCTAAAAAAAAAAGTGCAATTTCAGTAAAGCAGGAGACAATTTAAAAATTCAAAAAACGATAGCCAGGAGTTACTAATCTACTGAAAGGGAGAACTGCTAACCACACAGGGCAAGTGAAAGGTTCTGTTCAGAGAGTACATATAAAAATTCCGGCATCAAAACAAAAAGGCACAAATAAGAGTTCAAAGTGTAATGATCATCTATAAAATCCTTGACAATAAGGCTGGTTCACTTATATTCCTATCAGTAAGTAGGCACCTGCACCAAGTTTCAGCTTTGGCATCCTAAATGGAATTATATTGCAAATGAAGGATTAACACAGTACTAATTATAGCAGCATTGTCAACATTAAGCTTCTTATCTACACTGCTAAAATAGAGTATTTCTCACCCACATCTTATCTGTGTCAAAAAATAAAATTTTAAAAATTATATTCATAAAAATTTCTGAAATTCCTCAAAAGAGCTATCTTCTCAATGACACCTCAACCCCAACAATCCAAAAATTAAAGCTATTCAAAAATTGCTAGGCTAGACTAGCTACTCTTAATTTAAAAGATACCATATTCAAAAATGGTACTTTATTTATGAAATTTATTAAATATAATCAATGAATAATGCAGATTTTCCAGATATGTGTGTAGGTGTGTAAGATTTCTGAACTCTGTGATGAAATACTTGAAAAAAATATAGATTTCCACAGTGACATTTCATTTGGAACTCTGGACCCATCTTCGAATGGTTGCTCCAGTAGTACTGGCTACTACACAGAGAGCCCCACCCACCGTCCACCAGGTCGGCATATTATTGAAGAAAGCAATCTGAAAGATAAAAGCAAAGACTATATCCATTGTCTTCATTATTGCTACGAGTCCTGCTTTTTCTATTTGAACGGCTTTCGTGATGAATATCTGACCCCCCAAACCTAAGAGCCCAATGAGTATGAGAAACAGCCTATCCAGCCCACAGTAAGGAAGACTCCATTCTCCCATGACAAAGAGGATGATGATGCATTCAGGAAGGCCAAGGATGACATAATACCAAATGCTCAGAAAGTAGTCCACAGATTTTCCCATTTTTCTTAAGATAACCAGGGTCATTGCAGCTAGCACGGCGTGTCCAATTGCGGCAAATGTTCCCTTAATGTGCTCTGAATAGTTTTTGTTCATCCCTGATGTGTCGGAGCCAAATAAAAAAGGCGGCCTCACGATAAGGATCACTCCAACGATCGCGAACAGCGTGAAGAAAGCGTCCCAAAGGCTATACTTTTCCTTGAGAAATATCCAAGCAAATATTGACGTAAACACTGGACAGCTAAATGCAATAACTGTGGCATCTGCGAGGGACGTCGTCTGGAAAGCATAGTACATAAGGATCATGGCACTGGAACCAAAGACCCCTCTGAGAAGGAGGAAAAGTCGCTGGCCTTTGGGACCTATGAACCCAGTTCTGCAAATTTAAATGGAAAAAAATGCATTTTAAATGAACTTGGCATTGCTTTTAAATCAAAATGCTTGATCAGACATTATTCTAAAGTACATTATAGTAAAAATAAGGGAGTAACAGTAAATTCTACCTAGTATTGAATAGTATGAATCGTTTAAAAATGTTTTTCTAGGTATAGGTAATGATGATTCAAAATGTTCATAGCACCAGCAAAAGATTAGAACACTGAATCTCATAAACAGCATGATAAAAAGTAATAAATATAATTGTTTCCCCACGTATATTCTTGTGAGAAATAAAGACAAAAAGAATGACACGTTAGGAGGTATTATACCCTAGGAGTAGAACCACATAATTTTCCTCAAATTTTCTATGATAAAAACACATCATTTTATAGTAAACATAATTTCAATCGTAATCCAGGCTAATGTACACTCCATTGTATCAATTCTTCTACAAAAGCTGAACAATTTAGTCACTGAGTATGGGATAACTTTTCATTGTTCTTATGAGTTAAAATACACAGAAAAAACAAAAGCAGTGGTTTGATACACAAAAATAGTGCTTTTTTTTCCATTAAACACTCAGAGCCTACTCTGATAGTTCCTAGCTAGGTATAACTCCCTGACTCCTGCTAGAGCAAACTTCCTCTAGGTAAACATGAACATCTGTATATCTACAGTCAGAACAAATCTGTGGCCTATACGTATGTAGAAAAGCTACAAATGATCCATGATAGTGAATATAACATCAAAACAGACTAGCATCAGAGATTTTCAAAATACTTCCTGGCTTTGACTATTTTTTATTGAAAAATGGAGAATATGGTTGCAAACCTCAGTGCTATTGCCTCCTTTAGGAAGTGGTGCTAGCTCACTATTATTTCTGGAAGCATTCTGGCTTACACATTTACATGGCAATATGAATCTTTGCAGACTGTCACTTTCTAACCAATTTCTCAGGATACAGAATGACACTATTCTAAATGAATCTGTATCATGGCATGGACACAGGGAGGCTCTGGAGGCAGGCAATGGAAATTTGATTTGAGGTTTATAACTTCAGCTTCCAAACAAAGAGCCAGGTAGCCAGTAAGGGCCCAATTAGTCTCCTCCCAGGGTTCAAAGACCACGAAGGTATGTGTAAGTTACGAGGTGGGGAGGGGGTGATTTCAGCCCTACTGAGAATGACAGTATGGAGGGAGAGGAGGGAGGTGACAGTAAAAATAGTACTTATATGCTGAAGTCTCCAGAAAGTACTCTAACCAAGGATAACTCTTATCTGACTCTTGCAACCTGCTCTGGGGCACAGCCCTGAGAGCTCCACTCCCTCCAGTTTACAGGGTAAGAAACTGAGTAGCAATGCAGCCAAAGACCTTGCCCGAGGTCCTACCTGCCACCCTCCATAAGACCACCATCTTACCGGCATGATCTGACGGGGCAGTCTGTCCCACTGAAAGAAACCTGACACTCCATAACTCCCATCACCTAATCTTCAAAAATACCAGTTATGCCAAAGTAAAGGGAGGGCGGTACGCCTGCAATTCTGTCTCCAAATAAAAAGGGTGAACAACCACATGGCCCCCTTCTCCTCTGATGGCCACATGGTTTGTACTTATGGAAGGGTCTTCTCTGAGTAGATCCTGAGAACATGTCATTAATCAGGGTGAAGGGAAACAGACTGCTCCATCTATGATAAACCAGTTACTACAGGAAAAATATTAAGGCAGTTCAAAAGGTTCACACACACTTATTAATCTCGTCTGCCTCACTCTGAAAAATACTTACTTTCTGTATATTAGGCAAGGAATAATAACTAGCATCTGGAACACACATCGAAATGCACTGATCTCCACTGCATGGACACCTTGTACTTTTTTAACAAATAAAGAGGCCGCTGAGAAAAGGAAGGCAGACAACACTGTGTAAAACAAGCCAAGTCCAGGGCAGGGTGCTTTCTTCTTGGCTTCTGAAAAAGATTAAACTCTGGTTAGTCCTTGCTTCCAAGTATATGTTTCATCACTTTCACTTAGAAATAAACTGAGAAAGATGCACTGTACCAACCCTAGAAGAATACAGGTAAGACCTTGACATTCCTGGCCTTGGACTGCTTTCCCTACCTATTAGGAAGAATCCATAGGTACAGGCAACAATTTAAAACTATGTTTTAAAAAATGCTATTTCTCCCCATAAGAGATGGATTCCTTTTGGCTCACTAAGAGAGTCATCCCTCACTTTACAAGTCGAGAAAATCTTGCTAAGATGATGGGAGGGATCTTTAAGAAACACTTGGAGATGAAGTCCTCCTCAGTGACAGGGCCTTCCATCCTCTCACTGTGAGCTTCAGAGAGAGAACTGCTTTGCTGGAAATCAGTTCACAACTGTTTTATCTGGTCATTTGTTGATCATCTGACTTCTCCTATGAGCCTATGAGCTTTTCTGGGGCTGGGACCTTAGCTATCTTGTTCACGCCTGGAACATAGGCAACTGGAATATGTATCTAGTGAAGGAAAGAACTCCATGGAAAGACAAGGGTCTAACGGGACTGGCAAGAAGATGAAACTGGAAAAGTCTTGCTGTTGTGTATCCGTGAGCTGCTAATTTTGCCCCATCTCATTCTGAACCAGGAAATTCATGCTTTCTGCAGGTCTTCAAAACTTTAATTGATTACTGGCATCTTGTGTAGCATTAAGGGCAAGACACACACTTGGTGTATGGACACATACCACTCTCGCCTAATGAACATGAAAAAGAGACAGTGATGAGGAAAACAATTAACTCTTGTCAATTAAGAGTTCACTGGAGACACAAAACCTGTGGACACTGCAATTTACTTTGAACTCAGTCAGCCACTCCACTCTTAGAATGTACAAAGTGCTACTCAGCTATGGAACATTATTGCATAATTATGTTCTCTTTTTAAAATGCCCTTCTCTGATAAATGATACACCAGGTAATATATTTCAACACCCTCATATCAGATACCTTTGTCCACAAGTGACTGCAAAATGTGACCAGGGTATGAGGACAGCTTTTCTACCGACAATGTACACCCTGCCCTTTGCATCAGGGACACTCTCTTCAGAACCTTCCTGTTCTAGGCACAGCTGGAGACACTGCTTTGGAATTCTTGCTCTGTTATTGATGCTGGAACCCCTCCCCCACGCTACCTTTACCCCTGTGCTCTGACATTGTGGGAATGAACTACTAACAGCCACTCAGGCCTCCAGAAGGAAACTTCAGAAGACTTCCAGGCAGAGGCACCACAAAATGCATGCCTTGGCTGTGGTCAGCCTGAGAGCTGGGCTTCTGAAATTACAAAATTTAGGTCCAAATAAAACAAGCTTTCTTAAACGAAACCTCCACCCTCAGACAGAACAGAATAAAAAGTCCTAGGACAGAAAACATCCTCCTGGGTTACTAATCCAAGGATCTTCTCCAACTTTCAATAGCTTTTTCTTTAAGAAGTATAACAGCATAATTTAACTTTAAAAATGGATCTTCTTTAAAACAATTTAAAAGGAAAAAAATACTTTGTTTTGAGGTAGGGTCTCCCTATGTAGCCCTGGCTATCCTGGAACTCACTACATAATCAGGCTGGCCGCCCATTCAAGAGAATTGCCTACCTCTGCCTTCAAAGGTGAGTTACACCACGTAACAAATAAAAACCAAGGTTGGTGTTTTCTGATTAAGGACAGACAGGTAACAGAAGGTTGGAACTAAATGATGAAGGCAAGGATGTTCTGACCTGTTTCTTACTAAATGACCATTTCAATTCCCTGTGACAATGGCAATGAGCAGAGCAGTGTACAGGGATTTGCTCACACGATATATACCACCACACTCATATCCAGAGAGAGTGTGTCTAATCACTCCAAATAAGCCACGTTGAAAGTTCAACTATTCCCGTGAAGTGGTCACCATACAACTTCCAGAAGAAAGTCAAAACCCAGCTCACTGGCTTCTCCACATTCTGCTTTAAGCCAGTGATTCAGACCTGGCTACGAATCACCAGAGTAACTTAAAAATTCCATTTCCAGGCCCCACCCCAGAACTTTTGGGACTTTGTAAAAGAAAAGAAAAAAGCTGGTTAGAGGCATCCACTCCAGCAGGAGAGAGGCGCACGGCTAAGACAACATCCCTTTAGTTCAAGATCCACAGCCAACAGGTATCAGACAGCTGTAAACTGCCCGGGGAAGGTTATCCAGTTCTGACCTAAACTTGTTAAGAAACCACTTAGATCAACAGTCTCAAAGTCAGGTGTCATGTTGAATGCCCTTAATCCCAGCACTCAAGGAGGCTTAGGCAGGAGGACTGAGTGAGCCAACCTGGAGACCCTGTCTCAAAAAAAATTAAGTCTAAAATGAACCAGTATAGTAGCTTGTGGTTGGTTTTTTTTTCTTCCTTCCTTCCTTCCTTCCTTCCTTCCTTCCTTCCTTCCTTCCTTCCTTCCTTCCTTCCTTCCTTCCTTCCTTCCTTCCTTCCTTCCTTCCTTCCTTCCTTCCTTCCTTCCTTCCTTCCTTCCTTCCTTCCTTCCTTCCCCTGAAATTGAAAGGCAAGGCTCTTGGCATTCACACAGGTTGGACATTTTGCCATGTCCTGCCTGAGTATACAGACTCCCTCACTAATGCACAAAAGGGAAGCTACAGAGTTTGCAAGGACCAGTTGCACGTTAAGTCAAAATGACATTCAGCCACAGGGGGATTGGGTGAGCAACCGACCTCTTCACGAGCCGCCCATTCTGGAGCCAAAGCCCATGGAAACAGAATCAGAAACCCAATCACTCCTCCTGGCTTTAAGGACAGAAATGTAGCAACAATTATCTTCCCAAGATTCTTCTCTAAACTCAGAAAAAAGCATTGGGGGGGGGGCACCGAGCCCCAGGGCATATCCCAGGGTTGAGATAGCCAAAGGTGTTAAATTGGCTCTAAAACATCTCCTGGGGGTTTCCTTCTGGGAAGCTAGGGAAGTGGAATGGGCCCTAGGTGGAGTTACTGTCCGGTCCCGCCCTACCCAGACCTTGGAAGATGGAAGCAGGAGTGAGACCCAACCCCGAAGCCCTCATCTTCCACGACCTCACTTCACCCCTTTGTAAGAGGAGTTTGAACAAAAGTCAAGGGCTCTTCACCGAGCTTCTAACAAGGCTTACCTTGTTTTAAGCCGGTAGCTAAAAAGTCCTCCCATCCCAAAAAGCTTGAGGACAGTGGTCCACTCAACTCTCCTCTCTGAGATGCTACGACTTTGGGACAAACACTTTCAGTATCCAAGTCTTTCCCACTTGGCGCTGGGAGACCTGTTTGCCCTCAAGAAGAGGGTCCCAGGTCGGCTTCCTCCCGGGTCGCTGCCTGCCCCTTTCGGTGACCTTTCACCTCTGACTGCCACTGGACCCGGAGGGCCTGCCCTCGTCACACAATTTGGGGGTGCGAACACTCGAAAACTTTCTGGGTCCGGGACCCCGCGGGTACGCAGAGAACCCGGCCCGCCCAGCCTGCCAGCCCCGCACTCACCAGGCTCCCCACGCGAGCCGCCGCACGCCCGGGCTCCATACGGCCAGCACCTGCCGGGGTCGGGGGCGTCCGCCGCCTCGACGTCCTCGGGCTCCTCGCCGGGGGACGCGGGCTCCGGCTCGCGCAGCTCCACCGCGTCGGGTGCGAGCTCCGCCGCGCTCTCAGGGGGCCCCATCCCGCAGCCCGCGCTCTCCCCGCAGCCGCGCGCCGTCTGGCGCCCGCCCGCCCGCAGCCGCCGCCGGGCCGCTCAGCTCTTCCGGCCCCCAGCGCGCCGGTGCGTGTGCGCGTGCGCCCGCTCCCGGCTCCGCGCCTGTCCCCCGCTGCCCTCCCGCCCCCAGGGAGCCTGCCGCCTGCACTCGTGCACTCCGGCTGCGGTGGCCACCGCTGGCGGGGCGGCGCTGCCTCCTGTGCAGGCTGCACACTGGTCCTCCTCTGTCTTTGAACAGACAGGGTGGGACGCTTGGTTCTGAGCTCCGGCGCCTCGGGGCTTGGGGCCTTCTGCTGCTTTAGAAAGACTGTGTGTGTCTGCGCTGGGTGTGGTGGCACAATGCCCTCAATCCCCAACGTGGCAGCGTTTGGATCTCTGTGAGTTCAGGGCCAGCTAAGGATACATAGTGAGATGCTGTTTGTTTTCTCTCTCTGTCTCTGTCTCTCTCTGTCTCTCTAGATAGATAGATAGATAGATAGATAGATAGATAGATAGATAGATAATAGATACAAACTGGGTGTCTGTTTATTGGTGCAGATCATCTCTGTAATGCCGTGGGGACTTCGAAGTATTATGTCAGTTTTTAAACACACCGAGTCTTGACCAAGGGAAAGCATTTAAGTAGTAATCATAGGGAAACATGAGATCGAAAGGGCAGGTTTTTAAAAATTGCAGGATAGCTGGACATGGTGGCACATGCCTTTAATCCCAGCTCTTAGGAGGCAGAGACAGGAGGATCTGAATTTGAAGCCAGTCTGGTCTACACAGCAAAGCCACAAAGAAAAACCCTGTCTCCAAATAAACCAAAAGCAAGCAAACAAAAATTGCAGGGCAAAGGGGGTTGTTTCAACAAACTGAGACAAGTGGCTGTCTGAGATCTGTTGGAAGTTAAGTTCTGGGTGGCAAAGAAAGAGACGACTCCTTGCTAAAGGGTCTGGCAAGGAGAAGTTTACTTTTGATTAAGAGCGTGCACTTGGAAGATGGATCACAGAGACAGGAAGCAGATTTGTTTTTATTCCACTCAGATGGGACCGGGTCTTTTCCCGCATTGGTTGGGGTCAGACCTCACGTCTTACTCAATAGCTGGTCGTCAAAAAATTGGCGCTCAGGAAATGAAGGAGGAAGGCTAATTGGGATACTGATCCTTGGTCATCATAGATGCATCCTGGGATACAGCAATGGACTTTTGTGTAAACAATGGTTTTACGGGGTGATGGAAGGGGTTAAAACATTTTCATAAAAGTCTTGCAAAATGATAGAGATAAAAAAACTTTAATCCATCCTCCTAAACATTTAATTTTTTTTAACAAAACCTCTTTAAAAAAAATAACGACAAAACAAACACTCCTTCAAATTAATTAAGATGCTGGCTCTTTTTCTGTCCCATCTTGGAGTAAGAAATTGCAATAGGAAGCCGGGTGTTGGTGGCTTCTACACCTTTGATCCCAGCACTCGGGAGGCAGAGGCAGGTGAATCCCCGTGAGTTTGAGACCAGCCTGGTCTACTGAGCGAGTTCCAGGACAGGCTCCAAAACAATACAGAGAAACCCTGCCTCGAAAAAAACAAAAAAAGCAAATAAATAAATAAATAAATACAAGAAATTACAATAGGGTGATAATATTTAAGTGATGGTTAACTCAATAAGCCTGAGTTAGGCCCCTAGTATAAAAAAATTAATTATTGCATCCATTTCATCAGCATGTTTTAAGGTGAGCCTGCTTGCTAGGGGTGTTTTTTTTTTTTGGCCAGGAGATTATTATGAATTATTAGAATGTTAGGTCTGTGCCCAGGTCAGAGATTCTATTCTTGGACCAGGAGTTTTCTCTTAACAGGCTTTGATTGCTACTTTAACATTCTACCTCCATAAAGAGATAACCCTAGAATCATCTACAAACTAGATCAAAAATCAGAGCTCCACAAACAGTTGGCATCTTTGGTCTCTGGCAAGATAAAACTACCAAGAATTCCAGGACATTCCCAAGACTTTAAGATAAGAAAAAGACTAGTATCCATTATGGTAAACACTGGCCTTTAATCCCAGCATTTGGGAGGCAGAGGCAGGCAGATCTCTGTGATTTCTAGGCCAGCCTGGTCAGATAAGGCATTCTGGTACAGCCTTAAAGAAGGAAGGAAGGAAGGAAGGAAGGAAGGAAGGAAGGAAGGAAGGAAAGAAAGAAAGAAAGAAAGAGGGAGGGAGGGAGGGAAGTTTCTTTTCTTTGGAGTCTTCAGTCTAAATTGTCTAGCTAATTTTTACCTTCTGTTTTTATCATTCCTCTCTCTGAAGAGGTAAAGTAACCCTGACTTCCATTATGGGATTGAGGCAATGGCCAATCTGGCTTCTTTCAGCTGAATTTGAGGTGTTGAGTTAGCAGTTTTGAGGTACCTCTCCAGAGGGATGAACTCTCAGATGGGGAAAAATAAGTCCCTGACTGATGTCTGGATAGGATTTTAAAATGTTCAATCAAATTATATTAGAATATCTTGATGAGTAATGGGTTTTCTGCACCCTGTCCCCAGTATAGGTTTCTCCACTAACACAGTAAGCCAGATCAGGCCAAATTGAAAAAGTGTTACAACAGGTTTATTTGAGCAAAACAACTCATGGACACGCTCTCCTGGCCCAAAGATTGAGGCCAGAGAAGCCATGCCCACAAACAAAAGCAGGGAGACTTTATAGGTTGTAGGTGCAAGCTGGTTTTATGCCCAACTATGATCAAAAGCTGAGCAATTTAGGCAGGGACTGGCAACTTCAGGGGAGGAAGCTACAGTAGCTGCCAAGAATACAGAACTGGGCTTTTTGGTGCCTTCCTTTTGTTTAGAGATTCTCTGAGTGGGGGAATTTAGAGAGGGGTTTCTCAGATCACACAGGAGCAAGCTGGAGGTTCCAACCAAACATCCCAACCTTTTGGTGTATATGGGTGCTAGTTCAAATCTGGCTATTGCCTACTGGCATGGAATCATGTGGGAAGGGGGAGTCAGGAGTCGGTGGGCTCATACTCAGCAGGAGGGATGGGTGAAGAAGCATTCCATTAACTACCACGCTGGAGACCTTTCAAATCCATTCTTGGAGGAGGCAGAGAAGGCAAAGGTGCAAGGGAAAAACATGGGTTATTGCCACCGGTCCTATGAATGGTGCTAGCCAAGGGAAGAATGAAGATTGCCAGAAAGAATGGAACGGAGATGTACCCTGGTTGTATTGGCAAAGTTCTTCAAACACTTTGTGGAGACTCCATATTTGTTTCCACAAGGCCGGATTCATTAACAGAGTAGCAACACTATTTCCCCAGGAACATACAGGTGTCTATAACTGGAGCAGATTTACACCTTGGTGTCATAGCAAAGGCTATGGCTTTAGGTTAAAAGGCATAAAAATTTTTCCTATGTCTAGAGAGCCTGATGTATGTTTTTGCCCAATGAAAAGCACCTTTAAGCCTATACTTAGAAGGCAACCAAAGGAAATTTAAAACCTTGAGCTTATAACTGAATAGTAAGTAGTCGGTGCTTTATCAGTTTATCAGAACTCCATTTATCAATGCTAAAACTCTGAACCACTGAAATTCCAATGTAATAAAAGCATAGAAAAGGTACAGAAGGTCAAAACATCTTTACATACCTTAAATCATTTACTTATACCTTTACAACTTGCATTTATACATCTTAATTAATTTCTGTGTCCCTTTGGTGGAAATATACATCTGAAACCTATTTATCTTTTACTATGAATGAAGCCCGTGAACAAGGCAAATCTGTCTGTATTTCTTAACAAGAAACTTAACTAATAAACTACCAAGGTAGGTGTAGCCTTGAGGTAAGGCTGTTAAACTAGTGAAGCTATCAATAGCCTAGTCAAACACTATCAGTTCTGAGAAGGATAAATTTCACCTAAGTAAGCAGAAGTGCAGACCAAACAGTTTCTGAACCCATTAACAATGACAGGGACTTACTGGCTAGCTAGACAGCTACCCCAGGTTCCTCCACGGTCGATGGGGACAGAGGTCCCAGGTCAGCATTAGTCTTTGGCTGCCAGGTTCCCAGAAGATCTGACAGACTTTCTGTGGAGTAGGAACTTGGGGGACTAGCCTACCTTGTCTAGGCAAAGCAGGGCAATTGACTCTCCAGTGTCCGGTTTGTCCACACTCTAGACAGGGCCTTAGCAGCTGTCGAGGTGAAAGGCAGTTTTTTTTTCTGTCTGAAAGGCAGTTTTTTTCTGTCCTGTGGCTGGTTTTGCCACATTTAAAGCAAGCTCCAGGTGGAGGTTATGCACACCTATCCATCTTCTTTGGAGGAGATAGGAGTGCTGACAGGAGCTGGCATGTCTCTCTATCATGAAAAGCTTTTTATTTTTATTAAACATTTAAAATGCCATGTTCTTAATGTCTAATAGATAGACCATCTATTAGGTGTTTCTGAATAGACAAATTTTGCTTGTTTCTAGTTACTTATTTTAGGCTTAACTTTGAAGACATACAGGGGACTAAGTAAAGCTTATCCATGTAGTTAATTATATTAATACTTAGCATGACTACAACTAAATAATATAAGGGCCCAGGGTCAGTCCCTAGGTGAAAAGGTGTCTAAGCCACCACAAACCTGGCCAACAAAACCTGAGCTGCTGAGCACTGGCTACAGAGGGGGAGGGTAGGAGTATAGAGCTCAAAACTCCTGGACATAAGGGACTTGAAATCATTTGCTTTGGGCATATGGTATGGGACAGCCCCAATTGGTGGATAAATTTCACAGAAAACACCCCAGGAGTGACTGAGGATTGGATTTAGAACCCAGCGTTGCCCATTTCTAAGTATATACTGGAGACCAAAGACTAGGGTGAGGCCTTCCATGCAATAGCATGAAACTGAGAAGTGGGAGTGGGGTAGCCTCTTGGGAAGGACGTCTCCAAACCCAAGAGCACCCCAGAGCAGAGACTACCTCTTCCCTAGAATGGATCAGACTTACCCTGGCATGGTCATGGCTTGGCAAGTAATTTCAGGGGTCCTGGACCCAGATGAGGTACCTGGTACCTCTTTAGGCAATGGCTGGAAAACAGGTGACTTACCCCAAGTTGAAAGTCAATCATGTCTTTCAGAGAGATAGATAAAGGGAGGAACACCCCCACACACACATCCTGGTGTAGCCAGAGGACCTGGACCACTGAGTAGGGGAGCTCAACTCCTCTTGGGTTTTTGTCACCAAGAAAATAGGTTTTCTGCCCTCAATAATAGGTTCCGCTGCCAATGGAGTAAGTTAGATCAAGCTGAATTGAAAAAAATTGTAGTAACAGGTTCGTTTGAGCAAAGCAACTCCCCAGTGGATTCTCTAGTTCCAAAGATTTGAGGCCAGAGAAGCCATGCCCACAAACAAAAGCAGGGAGACTTTATAGGTTGTAGACGAGGGGTGATGATGTGTCTGCCACAAGCTGGGTTTATGCCCAAGCACAGTCAAAAGCTGAGCGCTTTAGGCAATCACTCGAGCAGTTGGCAACTTCAGGGGAGGAAGCTGGAGTAGCTGCCGAGTATTTGGAGCTGGACTTTTTGGCACCTTGTCTCTGTTCAGAGGCTCTCGGGGCTGAAGGGGTTTTCTGGATCATTCAGGGGTGATCTGGAGGTTGCAGCTGAACGATGGGTTCACAAACCTCCGTCCATTGTGCTTCCTCACTTTCTTTGTCCTCTAAGGTTGGTCTCCGGAGTGATGAAGCCTCAGTACGCTTTCATATCCCTTCATCAGATGGAGTCGGATGATGCCCTTCCCGTGAGGCTTCGAAACAGGAGGAGATACTTAGCCATCGTTAAATTTTCAGGTTAAATCAATAGTGAGCCACAGTCTTTCTTGACTGTGGACAGGTATTGCAGTGAGCCAAGATCTGAAGTCTTACGTCTGAACAACGTCTTTTGGATTGTTTGTTTTTTGAGGCAGGGTCTCTTTCTACACAAGACAAGCTCTCCTGGAACTCACTATGTAGTGCAACCTAAAATAAGTAACCAGAAACAAGCAGAATTTGTCTACTCAGATACACCTATTAGATAGATGGTTCTCTGTCTATTAGACATTCAGAACATGGCATTTTAAGTGTTTAATAAAAATAAAGCTTTTCGTGATAGAGAGACATGCCAGCTCCTGACAGCATTGCTATCTCCTCCAAAGAAGATGGATGGGCACAGAGCCTCCATCTCCTTGAACTCAGAGACCTGCCTGTCTCTGCCTCTCAAGTGATGGGACTAAAGGCATATGCCATCATGCCTGCCTGGACGACATCTTTTTATCAAAATAAAAATACCAGTGAGATATAGTTGTCTAAATAACATCTCTCGTGTGGATTTATATCTAGTGTCTAGGGAGTGCAATCCCTTGAACTTTTACCAGTTCTCTTAGTCTCCGGTCATACTTGACCACTGAGTGTTGGAGACTATCGAGGCCAGGTGAGGATCTGGTCCTCAGGGATCACTGGACGTCAGAGGAACCTCAGGCTCTGCTAGCCTTTCTCCTACCAGTTGTCCATCTATGTGAGGATAACTCAAAGGCCTTGCTTGACCTGACAGTGGCTTTGCTTGGAATCACCGAGGAAATCTGTTGTGGAATATTCTTTTACACTGTGTGAAGATGTCTCACTGTGATTGGTTTAATAAAGAGCTGAATGGCCAATAGCTAGGCTGGAGGTATAGGCAGGACTTCTGGACAGAAAGAGCCCTGGGAAGAAGAAAGGCAGAGCCACCAGCCAGACATTGAGGAAGCAGGATGAGCAGCACAGAGGAAAGTACAGAGCCACATAGGAGAGCATAGATTTAAAAATATGGGTTAATCTAAGCCGTAAGAGCTAGTGGGACGAGTCTAAGCTAAGGCCAGGCATTCATACTTATTAATAAGTCTCTGTGTCATTTTTTCATAAGCTGGCAACCCAAAGAAAACCCTTCTACAGAAATCTTTCTTCTGTGTTGACCCTCCTCTTTTCAGAAGGGAGACTGATTAGAATTCACTGAGTGGGGTCTTTTCCTTGGTCTCCCTGAACAAGAGAATAAGTGATTCTCCGGCTACAACAGAACACTTTGGGAGTCTGTCCGCAGTCCCCTGGGACTTCATTGATCCTGGGTAATGGTGAAGACATTCTTCCTTTTTGTCCCTCTGACCATGCTAGAAGAGCCTTCAACTATAGTTATTAAACACCCAAAAGATCAAGTTACAACTGTCTGGTACTTTACTGTATAATAAATGTTTTAATACCTAGATACTTCTAAACAAACTATGTTTAGACATACTAGACATAGATTTTAGACAGTCCTTGTAATTGTCGATCTTTGACCTTAGAAACTTTTAATACCATATACATCATCTCTAAATCATCCCTTATGTACCTTGAGTAACTTACTCAGAACTTCATAACTTGCAAATGATTTCCAGTCTTCTTTCCCATTCTAGAAACATCCAGCCCTCTTAACCTTCATATATAATAAATCCATCTTTACTAAAACAATTTCCTTCTAACATTTATTTTTATTTACTGGTTTCATTTCTTGTTTTTAATTTCACCACAGTTTATTCATTTACTATGTATACAGTGTTCTGCCTGCACACCAGGAGAGGGCACCAGATCTTATTACAGATAATTGCTGGGAATTGAACTCAGGACCTCTGGAAGAACAGCCAATGCTCTTAACCTCTAAGCCATCTCTCCAATCAAGCTGGTTTTGTTTCTTATACAAAAAGACATAATAGTATTAACAAATGAATTTAGTATCTATTGTGAGAATTTTCTTCCTGGAAGGGGGGGGCACTAAGCAATGTCTATCCTCTCATAAGGTCCCAATGACAAACCAAAGTTCAATTTCATCAAATTTCACCCTGGGGAACTAGGGGACTTATTGGACTTACTCTGCATGAGTGGGAGTTACCGAGAGGAGTGTGGGCACCCCAAAACAGCCACACTGAAAAGCCTTTACCCAGTCTGAGCAATGGTTTTCCCATACCTGCATAAGTGGAGATCCAGCCCTCCCAGTCTTTCCCAGTCCATATACTTTAGCTCCTCCCCAATACCATGAGGTCAAATGTGATTTGTCCCGGCTACCGTCTCGCCAGCAAGAACGACGCGGCACACTTAGGATCCTTCTGCAGAACAGCTTTAATGCATCTTGAGAGGGAGAGCATAAGCTTACAGAGCAGAGATCCTGGGGATCGAAAAACCCAACCCTTATATAGCCCAGCAGTCCCCGCCTCGGACCTGTCATCTCCTGACTGGCTCCTGCTCATCAGCCCATATGATGCCACGGGAGAGGCAGAGAGTAAGGGATGGAAAAGTACCAGGCACGTGCGCACTCTACGTTTGCAGGGCATAACGGCCGGGTGTCGGCGCCATCTTGTAACGGAGAATGTGGGGGCGGCTCCCCACACTGATTAGAGCAGAATTGCACATAACTGGCTGAGAGAGAAGCTAGATACTTAGTGAGGACCCAGGACTCTCCTCACCCACCCCTTCTATGACGGAACACTCAACAAGCCCAGGGATGGTCATCTTTGTAAGAGACACAGCTGATCTATGACAATGGCAGTGGTTTGGCTTATGATAATACTGTGCAACACCACCTTTATAAAAGAAAACTATATACATAGGATAATGTAACAAATTAATATTATATTACTGTTAAACCATGAGGCTTTAAAAGGTCCCAGGTAAACCTTCTACAAAAACATGAGACAGTCTTTACTTAGTGCTAAGAGTCACTACCCTAACTGTGCTTAGGGTAGATATATAGTAAGTATGTAAACACGTAGTAAGGCATTGTTGAACTAATGTTTACAAGATCCAGTAAATCTCAGCAAGGAATCCCTTTTAAAATTATGATTCTGGCCGGGCGGTGGTGGCGCACGCCTTTAATCCCAGCACTCGGGAGGCAGAGGCAGGCGGATCTCTGTGAGTTCGAGGCCAGGCTGGACCAACAGCCTCGAAAACAATACAAAGAAACCCTGTCTCAAAAAACAAAACAAAAAAAAATTATGATTCTGGAGTTACTATTGAGAGAACTTTAGACAGAGGTCCCCTCTATTCTCTCCATGGATGAGCATCCATGTAGCTGTTTTTACTACAGACATCTTTAAATTACCAGATAATAATAATGTACACAAAATAATTGTTCCTCTGTGAAACCCAGCCCATTGATTTACATCAGACAAGAGGCTTGCTGTTCAGTTCAATGACAACCTACTGGTTCGAAAGCACCTGTCTTCCTTATGACCTGAATAGATTTGTCCAGAGGAGTCTTACCATCTGTTGGGTCATGCATTTGAGATAGGAAACAGAAAAAGAAATATACAGCTATAGCTAGATAAAGATGACATAGATATTCGATCCTATACCAACAGAACATTTGCTTCTAAAGGTCACCTTCTGATATTTTTATCATAGGTGAGTGGCAGTTAGAATCCATGATCAAGCAGGATCAAGTCAATAGAAATATCTGCCTTTACAAACTTCCAAACTGGGACCCTCCCTGGTTAGAGGTGGACTGACCGACAGCCACAATCAGTATGGGTACATCTACAAATGGAGGCAGACAACCTGAAAATGGTGGTAAGTGACCTCCCTCCTATATAGAAATCGAATTATAGGACAACATAATGCTATTTTTCTATAGAAGCCACATTTTATCCTCTAGTTCATATTCAGGCCAGATCTGTATACAGAAAAATAATCAGACATTTCTTTCTTAAGGCCAGTGGGTGGAAGAGCTCCCAGTTCGTAAGGATACAGTGGGGGGGAGTCTTCACTGACAGGCACCCATCTGAGAGACAAAAGATTACTGGAACAGCTTCCAGATCTTTGTTTCCCTCTCCAGAGCATCCTCTGGAGAGTCCCTAACTTTTTCTTTTAATTGTTTTATTCTTTTGTTTTGTTTTGTTTCCAGACAGCTTTGTGTGTGTGTATGTGTGTGTGTGTGTGTGTGTATGTGTGTGTGTGTGTGTGTGTGTGTGTGTGTGTGTGTGTGTGTGTGTGTGTGTGTAGCTCTGGCTGACTGGGAACCAGTTCTATATACCAACTGACCTTGAACTCACTGAGCCTCCCAGTGCTAGGATTAAAAGCATGCACCACAATGCCTGGCAAAATTAGTCAACTTTTTATAACTGTATTAAGTCAGGGATGCATTTAGCTCCTTTGTTTGTTAAACTTCCAATATTTCCTATAAACATTCCCTTTGATCCTTTTCTTTAGATTTGTAATCTGTCAATCACTATATTATATCTCCCATCTGTCACTGGAATACAGCAGTGGGTCTTTGTATAAACAAAGATTTTACTGGGTTAAGGGATTAAAACATTTGCATAGAGGTCTTACAAGCTGGGGGTGTGGGTGATAAAAAACATTTGAATTCCTTGCCCTAAACATGTTTTATAGTATTTGATGGAAAAGAGTCATATTCGATTTCTCATAGTTCTAATTTGATGAATGCATATCTTTGCCCCATCTGACAAAGGGAAAAATATATCAATAAGGCAGAGCAGAACTTGAGTGTGTGTGTGTGTGTGTGTGTGTGTGTGTGTGTGTGTGCGCGCGTGCGTTCTTCAAAATGCATTAGCTTCTCTCTCTCTCTCTCTCTCTCTCTCTCTCTCTCTCTCTCTCTCTCTCTCTCTCTCTCTCTCTCTCTCTCTCTCTCTCTTTGCTAGCACCCTTCCGATGTTTATCTTCCTTTTCCCATCTCTTTGCTTGCTTTCAATGCTTGCCCAGAGTCTGGGCAAGGATGAACGTGCCTAAACTGTTCTAGGTCCAGGAACCAAACAGATTACCAAATGAGGGAGTGAAGTTAAACTTTATACAAACATTGACACATACAGTTCACAGCAGAAACAGTTCTGGACTTGAAGTCGAGAACCCTAGTTCTGTCTTCTTGCCTCCTTGAAGCCTTGTTACCTCCTTCACTGGAAAGAGACGAATTAGATGTGCCTCGGCTTGCTTTAAGGAGCTGTTAGTAAATGAGATAGGCCCAGAGCAGAACATGGAAACTTCTCTGGAAGATCAAGGAGTATTAGCTGGACTGAACCGGGAATTCATCCTCCAAACTGAAACTGCCTTTATATTTTAGAATTAGATTAGCATGGGGAACTCTTTTAAAAACTGCAGGACAAAAGGGTTAACTGGGCCTGTCCTGAGAAAACTAGAGCAACTGCCTGCCTCAATTCTAACTAGACTAACAGATAGCTTTGCTTTGTCTGAAAAATAATTTAAGACTGCTTACAAAACTATACACAGCTGAGATGGTGACTGTGAAACTGGGAACCACCCTTACCATTGTCCGCACCTCCTCCTCATCACTACCTATGAAAGAGGAAGAGACAGAATCCAGCCAGGAGGTTGCTATCCCAGAGCACTGTATCAGTCATCCTCTCCAGAACAGGTGGGCACTCTGGTTTTATCTAAATAATAAAAAAAAAGATCTCGCCGCCGGGTGGTGCGCATCTTTAGTCCCAGCACCTGGGAGGCAGAGGCAGGTGGATCTTTGCCTGTTCAAGGCCAGCCTAGTCTATAGAGTGAGTTCTAGGGCAGCCACCGCTGTTACACAGAGAAACCCAGTCTCAACAAAACAAAACAAAAACAAAACAAAACAAAAACAAAACAAAAACAAGGTCTCATTCTATTGCCTAGGCTATTAAACTCATTTACTCAAGCAAGTCTTGAATCGAGCCAGTCTTGCAAGAATGAATATAACCTAAAGAAATGTTTGTGCCCCTCCCTTTGAATACCACACTATTGAAACAATAAAGTCTCAGTAGCAGGAGGACAAGGTTGATGCCCTGGTGGGGGAGCAAGAAGAGGGACTTTTCTCTTGGAGAAAGTTTTAGAAATCATCAGCCTTGTAGGAGCAATTTGAAACTGTGGGTGATGGGTGAAGGAGTACACCTTAGCTACACTGCTTTTTGTTTTTTAAAATGCATGCCCTTAGCTTCATGTTATTAGCCTGAAGATGGACTTACAAGAATCTGGATTTCTTTGTCCTAAGTGGTTACATTGAATAAAACTCCTTTCTTTTTTTCTACTATTAATTTGACTCTTTTAAATGGCTTGAGTAAAAGTGGTAGCAATCTTAATATGTTTCCCACACTGATCTGAAACTCACCCACTCAAGCAGTCATCCCCCGTCAGTTTCCTGAGTAGCTGGCACTACCCGTATGCCCCAAACCAGCTATACTGGCATCTTGATATTGATTTCAAAGACTGTTTGCCCTACACCCTCCCCATGAAAGTATAGATTCTTATCCATTTAAGTATAAATATATTGAATGACTTAGGAAACGGCAATTTGTTCCAAAGAGTGAAGCCTATTGTTTCTGTTTTGAAAACATTAGTGGAGTGGAACATTAATATCATGTTTTGAAATAACCTTGTTATTAAAGAGGGAACAAACAAGAGAGAGGTCACTTAGGATGAATGTACACAAATATACCTGAAAGGCAAACTATGTAGTTCAAATAGGAAACTGACTCTGGAAGTGTAACAACAAAGAATAATATAAGTACAGTTCATCAAAAAATTCAGACTGCAAATTGCCACACAGTTCAGAAATTCCACCAAATAGGGATCTGAACAGACATTTGTACACATGGTTCATAGAAGCATCTTTCACAAAGACAACAGGTGAAGACAACTTAAATGTCCACTGATGAAAAAGTAGATAACAAAATATATTATATCCCATATAATGGAATATTATTTAGCATTAAAAAGGAAATTTTGACCTAAGTTACAACATGGATGAATCTTAATTTTATGCAAATTAAATAAATGGAACATAAGGGATTAACATTGTATAGTCTCACTTGTTAGAGGGTCCTAGCAAAATCAAATTCATAGAGATGGGAAGTATAATAGTGGTTTCTAGGGTTTGGGGTAGGAGAGGAATGGAGGAATTAGTGTTTAATGGGATGGTTTTAGTTTGGGTAGATAAGAGTATAGCAGGCTTTTGAGGGGAGGGGCACCAACCAGTTCCCAACTCATGACATGGAGACTTAATATTAGTTATGAATGTTCGGTCTTATCTTATGCTTGTCTCGCTAGCTCTTTTAATTTAAACTATTCTGTTTCTTCTCATATACATTTTGCCTTGGGGCTCTTTGCCTTCCTCCCTCCCTCCCTCCCTCCCTCCCTTCCTTCCTGTTCTTTCCTGTGTTTGGCTGGCTGTGGCCACCTGGCTTTGGGTGCTGAGTGTGCCCTTTTCTTTTTCCCTCGTTCTCTTCTCCTTCCTCTCCTCCCTCTCAAGTCTAGATTCCTCCTCCTGTTAATTCTCTCTGCCTGCCAGCTCCACCTATCCCTCTCCTGCCTAGATATTGGCCATTCAGCTTTTTATTAGACCAATCAGGTGCCTTAGGCAGGCAAAGTGAAACAGATGCAGCACATGTTTACAAAATTAAACCCACATCCTTACATCTTTAAACAAATGCAGCATAAACAAATGGAACACACCTTTACACAGTTAAAGTAACATTCCACAGCATAAACAAATCTAACACACCTTTACATAGTTATAGCAATTTCCATAGCATGACAGAGCTCTGCAGATAGACAGCAGTGGTGTTTGTATGGTGAGGTAAGTGCTAATACCTTCAAGCTCTGTATTCAGAGTGGTAAAAATTTTAACCATTATAGGAATGTCTACTTTTTTAGTTATATAATTACTTAGTGGGTTATTTTCCAGACAGGGTCTCATGTAGCTCAGATTGGCCTTGAGGTTTCTGTTTAGCCAAGAACTTCTGGTCCTTCTCCCTCTACCTAAGTGCTGGGATTATAGGCATGAATTGCCACTCTTGGTTTGTGCAGCACTGGGAATCAATGTGAGGGCTTTTTGCATGTTAGTCAAGCACTCTACCAACTAAACTATATCTCTAGCCACCTTCCCACCTGAAAACTAATCTTAAGAGGGTAAAAATTCCCAGAGGAAACCCTTCCGGGAGTATACAGTAGTCATATAATCAACCAGCAGTGTAGCCAGGCAGAGTGCCACACACCTGCAACCCCCACTCAAGACAGTGTGAGGCAGGAGTATGGGCGCTGGAGAGAGCCCTGGGCTACACTGGGAGACTCCATCTCAAAACCAAAAGCAGACACAGCAAAAAGCTCCATAGGAATATAGACCCACAGTTGCAGCTAACGTGGGTCTTCATCCCCTCCAAGACATGTGAGCCATGTCCCTCAGCACCTGCTTTGGCCTCTCTTCATTTTTGGCTATAACTACAGAGAAGATAAGTAAGGCATTCTGAGTTTATGGGACTCCAAGATAGATCGTTTTGGGGGGGTAAGAGATTTATTAGAAGAGTAATTAACACTATAGACAAACAGACAGACAGAGACAGGGACTCTGAGGAATGTTCAGGCCCACATGGCTGAGTGGTGTCCCTTCTTACAGGTCTCAGAGGAAGGAGAGAGGGTCTTAATAGGGTGCTGGCAGTCAGGCTGTCTCTGACTGCTGGGTGACAAATAGGAAGGAGGAGACTGTGTTAACGTGGGACCTGTTCTAAAAATCAGCTATGATGGGGAGAGATCCAGTTTCAGATGAGCTTGACCTGGGCAGCAGCCTGAGCTGGCCTGGGATCTAACGATGACCATCAAAGAAGGAAGCGCTAAGAGGGGAGAGGAAACCTGGTTTAGTGCCTTCCAAGGTGGTCAGTGTTTTCTTGCTAAACATTACCAGTCGTACAAATGTGAACCTGGGGCTCTACCATTTAATCTCTGCAGACAGAGTGTACAGCCCTTATCAGATTTTAGAAGTTTCTTTGAAGTCCGGTGCTTCATCTGAAATATTTATGTCAGTTTTCCTTTCTAGTCCCTGATATATTTTTTTTATCCCATTTTTTAAAATGTAACAGATCTGTGTCTAAGTGCCTACACTGGACAACAGAGATTACGTGGGAAACGAAAGAGAGAGGGCTGCTGACCTCTCAGGGGTGGGGAGAGAGATGACAGGAGGGCACATGCTGATACTGGGATTGTCTGACATCTTGCTTTAAACATACGGCATCCAGACCTAGACTCTCTGTTCGCTCCCATTTGACAGACTGGTCTGGGATCAGGGCACTGGGTATGTGTGGTTGGGGAGCTCTAGTTAACTTCTGCAGCTCTACTGGCCTCCATGTCTTCAACAGTGAGTCAGAGGGCTGCACCCCCTTGCAGTCTCCGGGGCAGAGGGCACCCGCAAGCCTTATTGCTCTATATTTCCGTGTTGGTACTCTCTCCAGTTACTGCTGATTTTCCTCCCTTCCAGTCTGTTCCCACACTGACAAAGATGGCTCCTGTGTACATAAATCATTCCTAACACCCCGGGACCTTTACCCTCCTCTGAGAACTTACTTTCGTTTATGGATGCTTTGAGACTGCGCATGCTCGGCTTTCAGCTTTCGCCTTGACCCTGGATGATCCCTGCCAACCTCAGATTTGTTATGGTTTGAGATCTGGGTTCCGCTCTGTTCCTGATTTAATAATTAACATTTATGAAATACTCCAAATATGTCACGCACAATTAGGTGCATCGGCTCACTTAGCCCCCGGGGGAACTTTACTAGGCGGTTCAGCAGTTCAGTAATTGCTAAAAGCAGGCTTGGGAGTCCCGTTTGTCTATACCACTTGCCAGCTTGTGGCTTCAGATGAGTGATGATCTCCGACTGAGCCTCTGTTTGCTCGGGTATAAAAGGGAAGAATAATATCTAGCTGCTAAGACGAGGAGAGGACTCATGACAAACCCCAGACCCAAGTGCTCTTTTTTCTTTAAAGTCTGTATTTTATCCCCATCTCATACATGAAAAAAGTGAAGCTTAGAGATGTCAAACATCTTGCTTAAAGTCACCCTGAGAGAGAGGGGCAGAGGTAGGATTAGAATTCAGGACCTCAGACACCTCATTGGGTGGTCTGGACAACTCTGTCCTGCTACCCAGGCAGGACATTTAATTAACAGGATTGCTGGCTTCTGAGAGTACCTCATTACAGCAGGGTTTTTAGTTTTTTTTTTTTCACCTGATCTACTGGCTTTAACTCTGAGACCACTAAGCTGGCAACATCCTTGGTCAGCTTTTGCTACAATAGTTACACTCAAGTGGTAAAATCTATCTTCCTGGAATAGAATGCTATGAGATGAAGGAAAGAAATTTTATAATAATATTAACAGAGCCTGTAATATATAAATAAGTTGCCAACCATTTCTTGAATCTCTTTATTTATGTATGTATGTATGTATTTATTTGTTTGTTTATTTATTTATTTGCTATATTGCTAGCCAAGTACGGACCACTTAGAGACACCCCCAGAAAATATAGGATCTTTAGCCTATAAATCTACCAGTTCTATCATGTCTTATGAAATTCACTATTTGATAGTATAGCTTTAGTACT